CTGACATTGTTAAAAAACAATTAGACAGTTTAAAGAATGATAAAGCACATGAGCCAGGCATATATTTACCCAAGGGTTTTTAAAAAGAGGTTAGAGATTGGACACTTGCTATTATTTCTACTAACTTCTTGAATGGAGAGCACGTGTCAGAAGATTGGAAGTTGGCTAATGTTACTCCTCTTTTCAAGGGAGTTGATAAAAATTGCCCCAGTAATTATAAGCCTATTAGTCTTACATTAATGGTGGGAAAAGTTTTTGAAAGTTTGATAAAATATGCTTTGCAAAGTCATTTAACAAAGTTTAAAATTTTGTTGGATAGTTAGCATCATTTCACTAGGGAGAAATTTTGCCTTACAAAGCTTTTGACATTCTTTGAAAAGGTTACTGCTTATGTAGATGAGGGTACAGATGTGGTGTATCAGGATTCTCAGAATGCATTTAACAGAAAAGGCTTACTGAAAAGGTTACCTCTGTAGGTGTGAAGGATAGGTTAGGTCATTGGATAGAAAGTTGGCTAGATGAAAGAAAACAGAGGATTTTTATAAATGAAGTTCAGTTAAACTGGATTAATAGTATGAGTGGGGTACCTCAGAGCTCATTTTTAGAACCTTTGCTCATTTTGACTTGTATCAGTGATGTAGATGAAGGAATGGTCAATAGATTATTTAAATTGACAGATGATATTAAAGTTTTGTATGTTGCTGGCTGTGAGAAGGATGCTACTGCTTTACAAAAGGATTTGAATTATTTGGTGAGTTGGACAAATAAATGGTTTATGGCTTTTAATTATAATAAGTTCAAAGTAATGCATGCAGGAAATCCCAATGTGATTTATAGGTATAGTTTTCATGGAATAACCTTGACAGTGTTATGGAGAAAAAATATTTGAGTGTTTAGGTTGATCAGTCTCTAGTTGATCAGTTGCTAGTGGCAGGGAAAATAGGATTTTAGGTTGTATCTACAGTAGTGTTGAATTCAAGTCTAAAGAGGTTATGATGTAATTGTATAGATCACTGGTTAGACCACATTTGGATTATTGTGTTCATTGTTGGGCTCCTTACCTGAGAAAAGACATTGAATTGTTGGAAAGGGCTGAAATTAGAGCTAGTAGGATGATATCTTGGAAGGAAAAGTTATCATATGAGGATAGGTTAAGGTATCTGAACCTGTTTTCTCTTGAAAAGTGAAAATTTAGAGGGAGTCTGATTGAGGTGGTTAAGATTGTTAAGTGAATTGATAGTATTGATGCATCATCTTTTTCATATTTAATGGTGACAATGGTAAACTAGGTTACATAAATATATATTTTGGCAGGGGAAAAATCATCTTCAGTTAAGACAGCTTTATGTTTTAACAGGATGATTGGCCTCTGGTGCATGTTGCCTTTCATTGTGTTGGATGCAGTTAATTTAAGAGAAAGATTTATAAATATTTGAATGGTAAAAGCTGGCTTTAAGTATTTTTAAGGATATAGTTAATACAGTGGGTAGGACAGTCTAGATGGACCAAAAATCCTTTACCATCCTGTAATTTTATGTTAAACCCCCACCTAACTTGCATCATTCCACTGATATCATTCTTTCTGGTTGAGAGTGGTTGTTGACACCACAACTCTCTCCAGGATCTGGTCTCCAGAGGAGTATTCTCTGCATATCAACTTCTGGAGATGACTGCAGCTTTGGTTGCTATTTTCTCATTGTCTTGTAATGATCCACTTGGTCAACTCTACAGTCACTACATCATTTAACTGCTCTCCAAACCTGTGCTTTCTTCCCCGTTCTTCCTTTCTTTGGCCTATAATTGTTTTATTCACCTTAAGACATGTCATGTCTCTGGGGTTTGTATCTTGGTGGTGAATTGTATTTCTTGCCTTGATGGGGTCCATCCTACATAGTGGTCCTTACATCTTTTGGTCTTTCGTTGGATTTGTTCTCATTTCAGAACCCCTCAGGTCAATTTCTTAGCAACTTCCACTTTGGACATCTGTTCTCAGTTGTCCATTTCACACAAGAGGGTGTTACACCTGGGACCTCCCAATTGAGATTTGTCTGGTTCCTTGCATGACGGATTTTTCAACAGAGTAGCCCATTTTCTCTTTCTCTATTCAGCTTTCTGCTCTCGCCCTCTATCAATGCACATGGGCCTTCTACCATTACTGATCCTTCAGCCAGGTCATTCTACTGTTACTTTCTTACTTGAGCTTTCATCTAGGGCTTGTTTTGCCAATGCAGGTTATTGTGGGGCATTGTTAACAACCTTCAGCCTCTTGCCAGTCAATAATCCTTTCCTCTCCTCTACTGGGACTTTTGTATGGTTTTTTTGGTCTCTGACATGCCCCTCCCCTTTTTAGCCCTTGGCCTCCTGTTTCATATGTCATTTCTCTCTTAAGATGTATTTTCTCACTCTCCTTTTTGTGATTGTCTTCCATAAGACATCTATGCCTTAGATGCCTCCCATACTATCTTTTATGGACTGGTTGATATTGCTTCTAGTACACTCCTTCATTCCAAAGACTTGGACTGCCCAGGAGGGCTATTGGATGTTTTCTCTCCTCTCTCTCTCTCTCCCCTCTATTTGTGTGATCATTCTGATCCTGATAGTCTTTTGTGTCCTGTATGACAGTCTGTTGCTGTCTTCCTTGAACTACTCCTTTTCTTCGAAACTGCCATTGCCTATTTTTATCAAGGTAAACCTCCTCCTTTCGGGAATTATTCCCTTCCACATTAATGGGTTAGGTGCATCAACTCATCCATTTCTCATATTCGTTTTTTGGGTAAGTCTGAGCATGTGCTTTTTTTTGTCTCCTGCCAGTTTTGGCACATAACAGTCTCTCTTGCCTCTTATTTGTCACTGGCCTTTGGAGGAGATCTTACAGGCTGGTATGTATTTATATCATTGAGTGGTTTACTGTGCCTCTGGTTTTCACCTTCCTCCATTTGTCATCCTCCAGTCTACCAAGAGGCTCTAGTGTGGTGAGAATTGCCTGTTGTGTTTTCGGTCCTCTTCATGTCATTCATATCTTTTGTGGCACCATCATATGTGTACCATGATTTCTATACACATTCCAACACATTGCAGGTTTTTCAACAATAACAAAAAAACAAACCAAACAGGAGGAAGCAAGACTCACCAGATCAAGTGTTACATGAGGAACTCTGCCATACATTCCTTATGAGAAAGTGTTAAACCCCTCTGCTCCTGGTTGGTGGTGACCACTGTTAAGATAGACTTTTCTGTAAGTCTGATTTGGTAGCATATCTCCATAAAAGACATGGCCATTTCCATACATTTTATACAAAAAAAATAAAGACAGCACATTGATGACACTTTTATTGTATTCAGAAAGTAAAACCATGTCAAAAAGTGTCAAGATTATTCAAATTCAAAGCACAGGAATATTGAGTTGAAGAGCAAAGAAAATCTAAGCTGCCTTTTTTAGATCTAGAAGTCATCAACCGTAACAACAGGTTTGAAACTAAGTACTACCACAAACCAACATTTTCTGGGCTGCACATTTCAGCACATTTATATCTTTTACAAAACTAATTTGATAAGTATTTTAGTTCATAGAGCATATAAACTTACCAGCTCTTATGGCTATTCTCATGATGAACTTATCAATATTAACAAATATTTGATGAAAAATGTCTTCCCTCTAGAACTCATCAACAAAAGTATTTTTGAATATGTCAGTAAGGTTTACAACCTCAATGTTCCTAAATGTCCTATTGCCTTGGTGTTATCTTTCACTGATTCCCATGGCATCAAATTAAAAAGTAAAATCAAAAACATTCTGCAATCAACTTACCCTAGGAGTAATCTTGAAACCGAACAAACAGATATGCAATTTTTTCGTGTTTAAAGAAAAAATACCCCCCTTCAAAAACAGTCGTTGGTAGTATACAAATATTTGTGTCCTTGCTGCAGGCAAGTCTGTATTGGGTCAACGAGTCGAACCTTAGCTACCAGAATCAATAACTCTGGAACTTACAACCACCTAATCAAAGACTGTAACAAAAAACTGAACAGTGAACACTTCAGAATAAAAGACTTAGCAAAAGATGAATGAATGCTAATAAAAAAGGAATCACTCCTAATTATTAACCTACAACCTATGCTGAACAATCAACTAGCTACATCACTGCATCTCAAACTATGATCAACTCATCATGCCTGAGATGGGCAAAAAGTGAAAACTTTTTCCAACAAACAAGATGGAACACATTTTGCCCACCTTTGCAACTCATTACCGATGACACTAAATTTATCTGATATCCAGTACTGTAAATCACTATGATATAATCGTAATATATAAATGAATAAATAACAAGTTGGACAAAGAGTATTTCCTGTTTGAGAAGGATGTAGTCTCCCACCAAGTGCTGCTCCACTAGACAACACCTGGTCTCATGGAAGTTATGTCCTATGGGCTTTCTCTTTCTACCATTATTTCAGAAAGGAGCTAATCTATGTAATTGATGAGCACTGGCCCTTCCATCATTTTCATTATGAGATTCTAGGTTTTAGTAGTACAGAGAGGTAAGTAGCATTTCTGTAGTTAACATTTTCATTATGAGATTCTAGGTTTTAGTAGTACAGAGAGGTAAGTCTGTAGTTAACATTTTCCCCACTTGAAAATGTATTTCTGATAGATACTTACCTCTCTGTACCACCTTCCACCCCTTTTTTCCCACTTTTGGTGCATTTTGTTTGCCTTGTTAAGAATGAGCCAATGATCATGTGCTAGTGCTCGTGGGGATTACCACTCATGGAAGTCTTGTCTTCCTAATATAGGTGGAGAATTAGAGCATTATAACAATTACATCATAGGTGGCACAATACATGTGTAGGAATGGGGATTTGTTCATGACTTGTGGGGTGGACAGGAAATTCCATGGCAGTTGCTTGTGAGACAATAGCTCTTAGTGGTGTGGAGAGAGGTAAGTATCTTCAAATACATTTGCAGGTGAAGACAATTTTAACTTTAATGGCTTCTCTAGGGTGCCAAAGCTGTGAAAGTGACTGTTTCTGATGCTTGTCCAATGTATTATTTATGGGAACGTCTGAGAGGCATGTTGCGTGACAAGGATATCAACTTCTGGGTTCTGAAAAAAGTTGGTTTATCATCTATTAAACTAGTGAGTATGATATGCAACTTTGTGAGATAAATAATTTTCAAAGAACGTAAATTTTGAAAAGCAGTAATAACTTTAGTGAATAATGTAATGACTGTTAAAAAAATTTTAATTACTATGAAAGTATAAGATTTGAGATAATGTCAAAAATGTAACTTAATCTTGATATGATATAGACAGTCTTTTTGTGGTTGATAACACAGTTAGGAAAAGTTTAGAAATCTAATAATCAAGTATTAAGTAGCTGAATTTGATATGATCTAGTTAAGGGTTAAAGAATATATAAAATAAATGGAAAAGATATGTTTGTTGTATAATCTAGAACTCTTTAGATTAACTTGGAATATTTCTGTGTTCAGCCGTTGTATCAAACAGATATTGAACTTAAAGATCTAAAAGCTTTGATTGTGGTTTTATGAAAGTTATAAAAAATATTGAACCATTACTTCCTTTTGTCATTTTAGGACTTGGGAACTACAAACATAATTTATATAAAATATACAAGATAGAATTTTTAGTGAAACTTAATCTCTTTTAAGGTGTATAACATAAATTTGTGCAAAACATTTGTTTGTAGTTGTAATACTAGATCATCTTACAAATATCTAATGATTTTTTCAGGTCAAATTGATTTGCAAAGCATGTAACTTGCAAGTGTGGGTAGACAACGAAACAACTTTGTGCATCAAGCGACAGCCCGAGAGTCGTAACCCAACAGCTATAGACCTGGAAAACCTTCTATTAAACATGGCTTACACAAAGTATAAAAGAAAAATGATCACTTCTAGACAACCAACAGACCATTCTCCTCAGCCACTTGCTATGTAACTAACAACTAAGATGTTTTGTTAACAAAGCTAGAGTTCTCCAGAACCAGATTCAGTAATATTCATTATCCCAGTTCATTCATCCATGTAAATAGATTTGTACAGTTTATTTATACAGTTATATTGCTGGTTTTTGCACCAGCTTTATTTCATGTTTGTAATATCTGTGTCTTCATTAAATTTCTATAAGCTGTGTAATATGTTAATCACAACCATTCAAAATAAGATTAAAGAGGATTTTCTCCAACATCTACTTTAGTCACTAAGTCATTAAGATAACTTTGCGGAATTTATGACGTTGAAAAATCACATATCAACAAACTTGATAACACCTGCTTCCTCGATGTGGGTTTTGTGTTTTTCAAAATTCTGATTAGTTTTTCATGAGGTTAAAACTGAAAAATTAATAGCAATTATCAACTTCATAAACACCAGAATCACTTTCTTAATGCAAGCTTGGAATTTTCTAAAATGCTTTTAACCAACCTCATGAGACAATTACACATGTCAGTGTAAAAATAAAAAGTACTTATTGTAAGGTTATGGAAGTACGATATCAATGATTTTCATGATTAGTAACCTAGAGGAGCACATAAGTCTAATAATTAATTTCTTACTAACAAAAAAGAGGCTGATATACTATCTATACAATCAAGAAGACCCAATATAAAATCCTAGCTGACCACCAGCACAAAAAGAGTCCTTCTCAGGTAAAAGCTGGCACAAATGCCTATTTGACCTTTCACCTACTCTTCATCCATCCACGGCAGGATGTAGTCCTCTGTCAGATCTTTCTGATATGGTACATTACCCCCTCTCATATAAATAGCTATTCTTGTTCAGTGCTGCCCTCTATATGCAAACCTTTTTACGCATGCCACAAGCCTTCTATCACCCCTCCATTGGAAAAACTGATTCCAATGTATCTCTTATGCAAGTCACCATATATCAACCCTCCACCAACAAGAATGCGACATACTCTCATGATGCATGTGACTCCCTCTATTCAATTCTACCAAACTATCACTTCTCATTTGGCAGTACCATATATCAACCCTCCACCAACAAGAATGCGACATACTCTCATGATGCATGTGACTCCCTCTATTCAATTCTACCAAACTATCACTTCTCATTTGGCAGTACTTGTGTTCAGACGTTTTTTCTTTTGGTGCTCTTCGTGAGAATCGTGAATTTAATAGTTTAATTTCTGAAGTGGGATTCCTTCATTATTATTATTTTTCTTTACATTGAATAAATCTTTTAATTTAACATAATTTCCCAGTCTTTATTTTTTTTTTCTCACACTTGCATATTTTACATCAAACACTTTTGTTTGATTTACGTATTTCTACAATGAATTGTGAGGTTCATTTTCTCACTTTGGGGTTATACCTCTAGCACTATTTTCACAGGCTGCAGATGCAGGAGACCCATTTTTGGATTTCTCTGCTATTATCCATCATGAGATTGATCATTATATAGGCCAACCTTCTTCTCCTGAACTTTCCCCCTAATCCTCCTGAACAAGCCGAATCTGTTTAGGTCAATGATGACTTGATAGCCTTTTTATGCCACCAGATTTTGCCATGTTTTCCCTACTTGGACTTGTCTTACTATTTTTTCCACACCTCTTTTGTCCTTGGTACCCTTTTTCTTCCCCATGACTTGGAATCCTGCCACCAGCCTGCATCTTTCAGAAGAGGTACAAAATTTCTGTTTCTACAGGCCATTGTACCTATTCATTATCTTTCTCCAGGCTGTTTGTTGTCCTTGTGCCAAACCAGAGACTGGTGGCCTGTACTAGGTTTGTCCTGCCTGATTCTAATTTTCAATATACCATATTTCACCTTGGAGTTGTTTCTCACCCTTAGGTGGGCTTTTTCTCCAAGTTTATCGATGATAAAAACAAATATTGCAAATGATTGTTTGCATATCCCGATATTTTGTTACTTACAACTCTCTCTTCAGTTTATTCTCCATGGGGCAGTTTCTCTGTTTCATGCACTGCCTTTTGGCCTATCTTGGCCCTGTATGTTTTTGTTCGTCACATATATGCTCTTGGGTTGCACTTTCCTCTTTCCTCGGTCGACTGGCTACTGTTCACTCATTCTGAAGAGGAGTTTGCCTGTTACTATTATCAGCTGCTTCTGGAGGCAGCTATAATGGGTGTTTTTCTTTTTCTATGCACATCTCAGTTGGGCCTGCCCTTCTCCTCTTTGACTTTCTTCGATAGGTTTTTAGTTCAATTACAGCTTGCAAAGTTCTAACGCTTTTGGGGATGTGATCTTCCATGGTAGCTATTATCCCCTTAGGTCAGGCTCATATGTGGGCTTTTCATGACCATTGCAATTTTGCAGGGATCCTTTGTCGGCTCTTATTACTCTTCCTCCTACCCTTGTCGTTGATTGCCGTTGGTGATTAGATATGACTCACATATTGGCAGGTGTCCAGCTTTCTCCTCCTCATCTGGTTTTCCACATTTTATTGACCCTTTTTATCAGGGATGGGGTGCGTTTTATTGACCCTTTTTATCAGGGATGGGGTGCGTGGGTTGATTAAATAGAAGATTCGGGGTTTTAGGTCTGCAGCTGAGAGGTCTTATCCTATCAACATCCTGGAGCTTCTCGCTGTAGGTTGTGTTTTGGTTCATTTTCTCCATCTGGCCAGAAAATTGTTTAGTAATTATCCATTCCAACAGTGGTTGCTTATCTCAATCACTAGGGTGAAACCAATTCACCATCCCATTGGATCTTCTTTTTGGGCCCACATGCTCGATATTGTTACGGGTGCTTTTGCTCTTGTCGTAGATTCGTGGATCAGATTAATGTCCAAGCAACTTTTACCTGATGGAGTGGTCTGTCGATTCTTTTGTTTTCCTTTTGCTACATCCCTTAACCACAACTTGCCTTGATTTTGGTCTCGGGTTTCTTGTCTTCTTGCTTTGGCTATCCATGTTTTCAGCCAGGATTGGACCTACACATTCGTCTATCCACCCGTTCTCCTTCTCCTCTGGGTGATTTCGTTCATCTTTGACACTGTGTTCAATTCTTCTGATAGCTCTTTCCTGGCTGTTTCAGCTGTGCTTTCTGCAGCTTCTCCAGCTCCAACTTCCTCTTATGTTACCTTTTCCTCTGTCTCCATCCCTTCTTTGCCACCCTCAGTCCCCAGTGTTTCATCCCGACATTCCTGTCCATCATCTTCACTCCTGGTTTTCCTCTGGTCATTGGAGAGGTGTTCTGGCTTCTCCTGATGGTTTACCTCTTTTTCTAGCTTGTTTCATTCACCCTTTCTACTTGGAAGTTTCTCAATACAAATAGAATTTTTCCATTGTTGGTTTCTGGGTACAGGGTTTTTCTCAGATCAACCCACTGTTCTTAGTCATGCGGATTTCCTCTCTTGACTTTTGTATCGAGGGTCTTCTAAGTCTCAGATTTTCAGACGGTCCTGTCCCACATCTTTCCTTTTTCCTGATCATGCAGGAATATACCTCTCCTACACTTTACCTGTAGATGTGTTCCTTCTAGACTTGTCATCCGCTGCAGCAGGCTGCCCTTCGCAATGGGGATATTAATGTGGTCCTGCACTGTCTCACTTTGCCTACGTTCGAACTACTTTCCCAGTGCTCCTTGTTTCACCTTTTCTTATGTTTTCTTCTTTCTCCTATTTGCCTGTGAATGTCAGTGGTCTGTTTATTTGCCACCAATGTTTAATGTACTCTTTATCCTTCTACATATCTTCTCCTTTCTCCGGATCGTTTTACCAACCTAACACTTTGGCAGCTCATGAGGATAACTCCTCTGTTTAGCTGCTTTCCCTTCCTTCTGTTTCACACATTTTATCTTTGTCCTGATCCGGATAGACTTCTATGTCTTGTGTGTGTGCTCTTCTCTGTTATATTGCTTGCATGGCTTCCTTCTGTGGTGTCTGTTCCTGCCTCTCCCTTCCTTGGCAACTGTCCTCTGTTCGTGTTCTTTCTTCTTCCTCCTTCACCAATTGGGTTTGGCTTCTTCCTCTTTATTGTTTTCCTCCTGTACTTTGTTCTGTGTGTCATCTCACCCAGTTAGACACCTTACCTTTTCATTGGCGTCTCATCTTTATCATCTTTTGGAGGTAATTCTTCAGTCAGGCATATGGACTACCCATGATATGTTTGTCTCTCACTATTTATATCATATTGCTGTTTTCTTCCCCTCCAGGTTATTGTCTTCCACCTGTAGCCATTCTAGAATATCAGAATTCAGTGAGACTTTGACTGGGTAAGTTTGTTTTATCTTTTATTTTTCCTTTTCAGGGCCTTTTTCCCTTTTGTTAATCCTCATTGTTTGCATCCCACTTTGACCAGGTATTCTTTAACTGTTCAAATCAGCACTGTCAAGCCATGTTTACCTGCATATTATAATTCTATGGCCACGCAACACACACTGCAGAGATCAGGTGTTCACAAGATTGCTTGTAGGTTTATCCTCGCGATACAATTGCTTCATAACTTTGCCTGTCCTGGACCATACACACCCATGGACTACATGGGTAAAGCAGAAGAGGATAGCTCCTGAATTGGTTAATTAAATACAAACAAAAAATAAAAATGATTATAAAACCATTCAGTTGAGAGAAGGGCAGTGATGTTCTACTGGTGTAGATGATGTGATATCCTCCAATATAAAACGTAAAACAAATGGGAGTGAGACATCAAAATTGCAGTTCACCTCTTCGATTGGGATTCCTCATCCTACCCCCATGTGGATGTCAGTTCCCAGTGGCCAGTTTTTGGATTTAGAGTCAAACCAATCAACATATGTCTTTCCTCATGCATTACAGATGTCCATATTCCTCCCTCATTTATACTCCGTCAGTGTTGTGGGTCATGATAGAGGTAATTGCAGATTGTTCTGGTTCTTTCCCTTCTGCTATTCCGAGAATGTTAATGCGCTTGAGGTGATTCCGGTCCAATTTCACTTTGAAGAAGATGGTTTACATTATGTAGACATTTTTTTCAATACCGGATGTAAGGTTCCCAGATTGATCTATCAATTTATCATATTCAAGTGTGCCCCGTTCATTTGTCAGGGGGTACTAGATTCCCCCCCAGTTTCATGAACTTGACATGAAGATAGTATGATCCTCTTTGCTATTCCCACTGGATGGCTGGGGTGTTGGATCGTATTTGACTTAGTGATGGTATGATCCTCATCCTACCCCCAGCATGATGGATGTCGGTTCCTAGCAGCATGGGTTTTGAGTGTAGT